TGGGCCGCAATTGGGCCGAAAGCTAGCCAATGGCAGGACGGTTAGGCCAGTTTAGAATGGGCTGGACGAAAAAAAAAGGCCAGAAATTTTGTTTTTTTATTATTAGGGATAGAATTAGGACATCTAATCAAGCCCATGGAATCTACGGGTGGGTGTCGGTGCGAAATGTAGTCAATAAGTAAATATTTATAGTTTTACCGTGCGTTGTGATCGGATGTGACCTAGCACTCAATGACACAGAATTTATACTGGTTCAGGCAACAGACCCTACGTCCAGTTGAGGTCGATCGGTGACTTTATTCCAGAACATAGGTGCTCGAAGTTTGCTGTGGGGTTACAAACGAGTAAGGAATGAGAAGGGGGTGTTAGAGGCTCGGTCCGACTCTGAGTCGAGTGGCATAGAGTGATGGATGCTCAAACGTGCGCTAAGTATCATAGCGTATGCTCTGTGTGTCCGAGCTTATCAACTGTTGAGAGCGTGTAGACTGTGTAGCTGTCGAGCTCTAGAACCGTTTTGTTGTTGTCCTCGAGTTCTCGAGTCTTCGGGGGGTTCGAAGCTTCTGTCTTTCTGGTAGGAGAGAGCGCATCCCCTTTTATAGTTGAAGGGAATGGTCTTACAAGTCAGAGAGAAAGAGAGAGTTCATACGAGCGCTGTCTAGTCTTGTTGCCCACGTCATCGGGGACGAGATGGTCGTCGGTGTCCATAATACTGTTTATGTTCAGACGCGTCTGGCTCTACCATGTTCGCCTGGTACGCCAAATGACGGCGCCCACAATACTGTTTATGCTCTGACACGTCTGCCATGCTCTACCATTTTCGCCTGACATGCCCCGATGCCACTGTTCTACTGGTGCGCTAGGCATGACAGGGTACGGTTCCTCGGTATTACGAGTGACTTGAGCGCTTACCTTATCTGCTTCGCCTGCTCTCCGGGCCCATATCGAGCGAGCGTCCCCGGTCGGTCACTCCCAGTCGTCCCCGACCGTGTCGGTCGGGAAAGAGCAGCGAGTAGAGGTCCTATCGTATTCTCGGTCGGAGAAATGGGGTCGTAATCGGACTGCGGTCCCACCATGGCCAGGCCTTCCCGTCGCACCTCCGATCAGTTCCCCTGGCCGGAGGTGCCGATCGGGGACCGGATTGTGGTCTTGACCTATCATTGTGTATCTGGACCGGCCCAGGCACGTTGTAGGGTCAAGATAGCGACTAGAGGGGGGTGAATAGTCGTTACTAAAATTTAATATCGTCGGCTAACCGAAACAAGTGCGGAATTAAAACTATTGGTATAGCCAAGACTACACCCCCTCTATCTATGTTCTCTAGCACCTTGCAAAGATCCTAATTAAGCAACAAAGGTGCTGGGCTAGCTAGAGCTCACCTAACCAATTTTAGGAGCAAGATCACATAAACCTATGCCACTAGTATTTCAAGCAATGAAGGAGCTCCTACACATGCTAGTAAGCAAAAGCACAAAGCCAACTAAGCTCACTAGCAATGCTCAATAACAAGGCAACCAATGCCATATTAGAGACGCAAATACTTAGCTACATAAACTAAGCAAAGTGACTAACAAGATTACACAAACCAAATTAGCCACGCAAGAGAGCTACTTCTATGCTACACAAGCAAGAAGGTAACTAGTGAGCTACACAAGCTAACTAATTACAAGAGCAACTACACAAGCACAATGTATATAAAAGTAATCACAAGCTTGTGTAAGGGGATTGCAAACCAACAGGAAGACAAGGTTGACACGGTGATTTTCTCCCGAGGTTCACGTGTTTGCCAACACGTTACGTCCCCGTTGTGTCGACCGCTCACTTGGAGGTTCGGTGGCTAATTGGCATCACCCGCCAAGCCCACACATCGGGCACCGCAAGAACCTACCCCAAAAGTGAGGGTAGCTCAATGACACGCTCAACTAGAGTTACTCTTCGCGGCTCCCGCGGGGCGAGCACAATGCCCCTCACAAAGCTCTTCTCCGGAGCACCGCACAAGCTTCTTGCGGGCTTCGACGGAGACCACCACCAAGCCATCTAAGAGATGGCAACCTCCAAGAGTAACAAGCACCACCGGCTTGCAACCCGATCACCTAGTGCCACTCGATACAATCTCACAATGCAACCCACTAGAATCACACTCACTCGCACTCTTGCAAGCACAAGTGAGTTAGAGGGCATCCAAGCACTCCTACACAAGCCACATAGGCATGAGGGTGCTCAGCAACCAGGCTAAGATCGGCCACACACTCCTTTTATAGCCCCAAGGGCTAAAATAGCCGTTACCCCTTCACTGGGCAAAACGCACACTGACCGGACGCTGGAACAGTCACTTACAGAGAGGTTCCAGCGACTGGACGCGTCCGGTCATCACTGACCGGACTCTCCCAGCGTCCGGTCGCTTCTGGACACGCTAAAAACACTGACCGAATGCTGTGACCGGACTCGCATGTGCTGACCGGACGCAGACCCTGAGCGTCCGATAGTTTTTCGCGTCAGCGTCCGGTCACAGACCTTTCAGCACTAAAACGGCTATAACTCTTAGCTTCGAACTCCGATTTCGATGATCTTAGACATTTTGGAAAGCTTACTCAGAGGGCTACACATCCCACATGCATACTTGATCCAAATCACAATGGATCAAAACAGTATTACAATCCAAGGACCATCCTATAGTTCGGAGTATACCAAAAAAAAATCTCTTCTCTAAGTTGATTCACAACAACTCTAACTTCTTCTCCTTTGCAAATGTGCTAACACCACCAAGTGTGCACCACCATGTGTATATGTGTTAGCTTTTCACAAATATTTTCCAAATGATTGGCCATTCAACTTGCCACGCCACTCGATTCTAGCGATGATGCAAAGTTAGATCACTCGAGTGGCACTAGATGACCGATATGTAAACAAGTTTGCCCCTCTTGATAGTATGGCCATCTATCATAAACCGGTCATCAACTTCTCTACACACCTATGACCGGTGAAATGAAATGCCCTAGGTTATACCTTTGCCTTACGCATTTCATTCCATCTCCTCAATGTCGATGCAACACATGCACCAACATGATCAACAATGATATAATCCACTTCATATCATCATGTGATCATATTGGTTCATCGATCTTGACTTCACTTGTTTTTCACCGTTGCCTTCGTCCATAGGGGCCAAGTTTTGCTCAAGCTTCACCGTCACGCGGTCCATCGCTCCAAAGCCTCCGACTTGCCCTTCACGCTTGCAACCGGTCCATCAAGCCAAGTCTTGTCTTGATCTTCTCCACCTTGATCACATGACTCAATGTCATGTCTCATGTGCAATAAGCTCCTTCATCATCACATGTGTGAGCTTTGCAACATCTCCAAGCCATTTTCACCTTCATGGCATATGTTGCTCACACATATATACCTGTGGACTAATTGCCTGTGTATCTCACATAAACACAATTAGTCCACCTAGATTGTCACTCAATTACCAAAACCACACAAGGACCTTTCACACGTGCTGTCATTGCACTGCATGTTGAGCCGAGTTTTGCAGGAAAGCGGGTCTATTGGGGATCCCGGATTTATAAACCCAACAATGAGATTTCATCTTTATGTCTCTTATAAGATTCTAGTCCGTGCAGTTGTACGGCTTGACCGAATAGTGACAACGAATTTGGTTAAAATAGCCGAATTATATGGGTGGTGATAGCAATAAAAAGGTCCTATTTACAACGAAAAGGCAGATGATTCATAACAATATTACAGAAATTTTTACAATTAACATGTCTTAGGTCATTGTCTTGTTCATGATCGCCTAGAAAAGCCTCCACAAGCTCATCCCACTCAGGTGGTCCACTCCACGTCGTCGTCGACGATGAGGTGTTGCACGACGTTGCAGAGGTCCTAGGGCTATCAAAGTCCAACGATGACGAGGAGGAATTGCCCTGTGAAGCCCCCTCCGTATCAAGAGACACCAGATGCTCAATACTATGAAGGCCAACTGTGCACTCTTCTACGTCGAGTGGCTGATGAACCTCTTGCGCTTTGATCATCTTCTGTTGCGCTGGAGGCGATGTCAACTCTTCTTGCTCCATCAACTGATGATTGTCAAAACGGCCGAAGTAGTGTCACAATTCACATAATAACAAACATATAAAAGGTAGATTGAGAAGTACTACAAGAATAAGGTGAACTCACATCTAAAGCCTTCTGAGCCTCTTGTTCGATCCAAATGATCCCATGGTCGGCTGCAGCATTGCACGACAGAACAACATGCTCGAACCTGCCCTCTGTTGGAACTGCCGTCCTGACCTCCGGTGGAAATCTTCCACATCTACATAAATAACAACATGGCTTACAATTCTAAGTGGCAGTGACTCCATAACTCAAATTCTAAGAAACCAGAGAGTGTGGATTCTGCTTTTGGGCAGAAACTGGAGTAACATGTCAAATAAATAGTTTGGTTTTGAATTCTTGCCAGAAATCAGGAGAAATATTTTTCTTTACTCGCATGAGAATCACCCATAATGGTGGTTCTCATGACAATCACCTCCCCATCTCACATTGCACAAAGTGATTTTATTTCACCGTAGAAATGTATCAGTGAGAAACAAAACCAAAACAGAAATTGGAGAAACTATAGAAATGCCCAAGGGGGACTAAATTACATCAAAGGTGAAAATAATTTAGAAGTTATATGATTTGTTCAGAAGCTTGTCAAATTCCTGTCTTTTTTCTTGAGGAAATGTTCAGATCCTATCTTACCAACTATGCATAAAAGTAGAAGTGTTCAAGTAATGAATCGGATAGAGGCTTGTTACGTATGCACGATTAGTCCATTGAGTTCCATCCAGTGATCCTGCTCTATCGAAGTGGCCTAAAAGGCGTAGCAGATTTAGAGAACCAATAAAAACTTGGCAAGAAATACCTGCAATTCTTCCGTTCCACGATATGAAACACTGTGCCAGGAGCATAGAGTTTAGCTGGATCCGTGAGCTTCCCTTCTGAGACAAACGTGTCTCTCATGCAAATGAAACACAGCAGACACGGCAAACTGCAATGCAGGAGAAGAAATGTGAGGCTTATACTAGTACTAGTAGTAAAAAACGACAGCAACTAAGCTGCAGTCAACAGAGCATACTTACCAGAAGATAGATCCGAAAATGTGCTGCAGGGGTGCCGGAGTTCTGGGCAAGAAATCATCCTGCAGAGGTTCCACATATGTGCATGATCATTGATCACGATGATTGTCAAATGCTAAAATAGACCATTACTCGTTCTTTGTAGCTTTCAGTGTCATTGTTCACAAGCAGAGCAATGGACAGCTGAACCGAGTAAACAAGCAATAAGAGTTAGGGCATCTTTAGCACGGCTTATGCCGGCTTCGGCTTCATCTATTTTGTGCAAATCGAGGCACTGTAGCGTGAAGCCGTTTTATAAGCCGGGGTTAAAATGAACTAGAAGCCAGGAAAAGCCAGTTTTTCTGGCTTCACGGCTTTGACTTCACCGGTCAAGCCGTTTTGAATGAGCCGTGCCAAAGGGGGCTTTACTGTAAGAGACAAGAATCTCGGCAGACTTGCCTGCAACACGACGGAGTGGACAACGTCCGCGTACTCCACGGCGAGCGCGAGCGACATGCACCGTGGCGGCGCCAGCGCGTAGCACGTCATGTCCTCGCGGTGGAGCCCGAGCCTACCGAGCCAGCACCTCACCGCCACAACGGCCGCCAGCGCGGCCACGCCCGCGCCGAGCGAGTGGCCCACGAACACGAGCCAGCGGCACCGGGCCTCCGCCACCACGCGCCGTAGCACGGGGCCCTCGCGGTCGAGCAACCACACGGCGGCGCGGAGCAAGCCACGGTGAGCATGCCCTCCAGCGAAGGGCTCGGGCCCGCCGGCGTCGAGGAGGAGGCGGTAGTCCTCTGGCCGCGCGAGGCGAGGCCGCGCACGGCGAGCACCACCTCCCCGCGGGCGCGGTCGTGGAGGAGGCGGTATGGTGGGCAAAGCGGCGACGAGGACGGCAGCCCCGGCTGCTCGTCGTCGTCGTAGGCGGCGAGCGCGGCGCGGCAGGCGCGCGGGACAGGCGCGAAGGAGGCGGACGAGGCCGTGGGCCACGACGCGCTGTCGTCGGCGCCCGAGAGGGAGAGGCGGCGGGCCAACCACCGCGCGCAGGCGAGGGAGAGTGCGCACTCGGCGGTGCAGGAGAGGGCCATGGCGCACGCGCGGTGTGGAAGCGTGGCATTCTTGCGGGGCATGGGATTTTAGAGAAGGGGACGACCGAACGAGGCGTTCTCGAAGGCGAAGGGTGTTGATTTCGGCAACGCGCTAAGGGTGGAGGCAATCAGGCAACACGGCAGAGAAAATTCAAAAAATTCTAGATCGGAGAAATTATAAACCTTCGTCCTTCGGTTGCACGTCGCAAATTGTTGTGCCGCACCGTAAATTGTTACTCCTATGTCGTACAGTAAGATGTAATTATTTTTCCCCCTAAAGCAGTACGTTGTAGTTTATTCCAGCCGGCACTAAATAACTGTCATTTTCGCTTTCCAAAAAATAAATTTAATTAAATATATATATATATAATAATATTCATGATTTAAAATTAATATTATTAGATATATCGTGAAATTTATTTTCCTAACAAATTTATTTAGAGAAAAAAATTGTACACATATTTTCTATAAATCCAGTTAAACTTATGGCACGAAAAAAATAGTTATTTAGAGACAGAGAAAATATACCCCTAATCTATATCTATCTATCTATACCCCTAAGGTTCCGTTAGGCAGGGCTTCTCCACCAGCTTTAGGAGCCGTTTGGAGCCGTTTTCTGTTAAACGGGGTAAAGTGAAATAGCTTCACTGGTGAAGCCTCTAAAAACATGCTCTCACAATGATTTGGGATGGAATGGAGCAAAAAAAAGTGGTTTCTCCCGGCTCCTCCTCCAGGCTCCTAAAAACATGCTCTCACAGGGAAGCCATTTTGCCAAACGTTTACTAAAACCGCTTCAGCTCCACCGGTGGAACTGTTCGTGGAGCTGAAACAAAAAAATAGCTTCACTAGTAAAGTGAAACCCTGCCAAACGGGGTCTAAATAAATCACCAGTTAAAATTAATCTAGAGCCACCCAACAAATGAACCCCCACACACACCACAAAGACAAAGGGTGTTGTAAAACTTAAATAAACTGTCTCATTATTTCCTGTTGCACACTTGCACTAAAATGACTCCCACAGTCCTGACTCGTCCATTTTAGACCCGATAGCCACGTAGATCCCCTCAATATTAGCCCTCCTCACTGGTGCGTTGAATGCTGATGCTTTCATGAAAAACTCCTAGTCCTAGGTTTAAAGGGCCCGATAACCTACGAAACATGGAGAAATTAGATCCGATTTAAGTGTTGATGTTTTCTCATCGTTGGAATGTGGAAGAAAGAACGAAAGGGCTAGCACCTGGACGTAGGAGACGACCGGATACTGCTCCCCATTCGAACGCATTACGCCCGTCGCGCATGCGTAACAGGGTTGTAACAGACAGAAGCGCGCTCGCTTCACCCCACCTGCGAAGGCGTCTGCCGGCCTCAGGCGCCCGCACGATGACCCACGGCAGCGTCCCAGCAGCAGTAACAGGCGGCTGCGACAGACCGCTATCCCCTAGCCCCCGGGGCCATTGCAACATGTGCTAGTTCGTCTAGATCTATTTTTGAAACATCAATTAAAACAAACATACTACTGATAACAGATGAAACACTTAAAAATATATGCTTGAAACATGCGTGTATAGGTATAGCAACATATGGAGCATCCAGATCTACTTTTACAACATCCAGGTGAAACACTTGCAAACATACATATGAAATACCTGAAACATTCAAACATGTGCTTAAACACATGCGTGTTATGCAATATCCAAATAAAACACTTAGAAACATACGTTTGAAAATAACAGGTGTTCGCCTAAACGGATTAAACGGCCGTTTAAACGGCCAGTAAACGGTAAACGGTGGTAAACTATTTTGTTTAGGGGTAAATGGAAATTAAACGGTTAACCGTTTAAACGGTAAAAAAATGAAAAAACGGTCTAAACGGCCTAAACGGAACGGAGATAAACAGCATTAAACGGGCTAAACAACTGTTTAAACGACTGTTTAGGCGAACACGAGGTAAATCTAGTTCAGTTTTGTATGGATAAATTTTATACTTAAGTTTATTATATTTATAAATATGTACATTTCATATGTTACATGCATAAATATCTATATTTGGTTCTTTTCACATGCATAAATATATATATATACCAAAATAATTGATTTTTACTCGGATAAATATGTATAAATGCTAGAATACTTGATTTTTTACATGCACATATATAAATATATGTATTTTTTTAAAGTACAAAACCGTTTAGACCGTTTAACTTCGTTTAAACACCGTGTAAACAGCTGTAAGGAAAATAGACCCTTGGCCCATTTACTTTGGATTTTGGTGTTTGATGACCTAGACAATCAAATTGGACTAATGAACTTGCAAGTTATTGTTTTATAGTTCAATAGGATACAAGACGTGACTTCGATGAAGGCGACGTTATGATCCGATGATCAACACCATAAGCAAAACCTTATGAGCACAAGAGAAGACCCAAGATATCAAGCAAAATCCAAGCATGAAGATAAGAACCAAGCCGTACGCAAGATCGCGAAGAAACGAGCTCACAGAAGTGACCGAACGCTAGACCGGACACTGGAAGAAAGTGACCGGACGCTCCGATCAAAAGGCTCGGCAACAGACGCGACTGGACGCTGGCGACAGATCGACCGGATGCAGGATAGCAGAGTCCGATCGAGTACAGAGAGGTTCCAGAGCGGTGAAACTGCGACCGGTCCGGTCAGTAGCAGAAAAGCGAGATTTCATCATCAACGGCTACTTTCTCAGTGGGGCTTTTAAATACAAACCCCAACTGACCAAATAATTAGTGTGAAGCTAAGAAAACATATCAAGGGTGTTGATACACCATTTTAGTGATCTCTACTTGCATAGTGCTTAGTGTTTCATTAGGCGATTAGCGTAGGTGCTTTGCGAAATGCTTAGGTTGATTAGACCACCCCTTATGCGCTTGCTCTAGGTTTAGGCCTAGTGTTTAGTGAGGTTTGCATACCTCTTACCACTCGGTGCTTGCGCGCACCATTGTTGTACATCGGAGGGGCTTGTAGTCTTGCGAAATCACACCAACCGTGTTTGTGGTGTGGCCGCCACCGTGTACTGGAGGAAACAAGGCCCACGACGTTTCGGCCGAAAGCTTGATAGAAGACGGCGGGGAGCATCCGGGAGAGGCCTGCCGGAAGGCACGTCGGAGACCCACTTGCACGTGGAAAAGGCCCGAGGCTATCCATGGAGTTACCCGACCGGAAGCTTGGCCCTTGCGAGGGATTCCTTGCGAGGGGCTCCAACGAGGACTAGAGAGAAGCTTGCGCGCTTCTCGATACCTCGGTAAAAATACCGGAGTCGTCGACAGTAGTTTGCATATCTCTACCTTACTCTTTAGCTTCCGCATTTACATTGATTGTATTACTCCTTTTACGGTAGAGATAGCAACACACTAGAAAACCGTAGTTGCACATTTAGATAGTTTATCTTTTGCATAGGTTTTGCTAAGGGTAGAAAAAGATGCCATAATTTAGAAGTAGATTTTTAAGTTGTCTAATTCGCCCCCCCCTTCTTAGGCGTCGTGGTCCCCTTTAACAGCCTAAACACTAAACGAACGACGACCGTGTAAAGACCGTTTACCGTTTAGGAAAACATCGAAAATAACCGAAACACTTGAAAAGCTTGCAACATGTGTACATTGTCGTTACAACATATGCAACATCACACGATCTATTTTTGCAACATCTAGATGAAACACCTTAAATATGAGTCTGAAAATGTCTGAAACACTTGAAACACCCCATACCTGATGGGGAACTGTGGTAGCCAACAAGCTCGCAGTCCCTCGTCCCCCAAGCCTCCGCCGCCCCCAAAGCCCCTCCTCATCCTCTTCCTCCTTTTTCCTCACTCTCGTACGAGGTCGAGTACCGCGCGACCACCACGAGCCTCACCGGTGACGCCCGCGCCCATGTCCTGTCGAAAATCACGCCGGCGAGGAGGGCCCAGGGCATGGAAGGCGACGCCGAGTCCAAAAGACACGTAGGACACTGTCAGCGCGAGGGCGAAGCCTGCAGCGATGCCGACCATGGCCGGCGGTGGTCGGGCACGGGCACGGCAACATGTCTTATCTGCTTCGAAAGGAGCGAGTGGAGTGGAGGGGATGACTCTCGGTGGGAAGTGGGAGAGATATTTTTTAGAGAGAGAGAGAGCAGGCGTTGTTGGACCTGTAGCGTGCAAGCCTAGGAAGCACGGCCTCTGAACGGACGAACGCAGTGAGGAGAGCATTAATAAAGAAAGAAAGAGGGAAAAAACTTTGGTCATTCTGTCGTTCAACAAGCAAGCCTCGGCCATTTCCGCAAGCAAGCCTACCCCATGGCCCAAAATGAGGGCCCATTTCCACATGTTCGTCATCGGGATCTGGGTCCGAATTGGATCGAGGCAAGATCGCATCGCCACTGCGTCGACAGTAGCGACCTCTGGGCTGGAGATTCGAGATTTTGAGTAGCAGACAAGGAGCGATAATCAGGATTGTTTAGCATATCATTGGAAGATCACGCAAGCACCGTAGCTGCTGAAAGATGTTCCCAGGGTGTGAATTGCGGAGTGCTCTTTGCATCCACATCCACAAACAATAGATGCAACATCCTTAGCAGGGCTGAAGGAGTACCATGCCTGCTTCTTGTAGCATTCCCTCATAAAAAGGAGTATAGTACATATAGTAATGTTCAACAGATTGATAACCGGATCAACTATTTAACGTACATTCAGAATCGGTGCCATGTTCGCTTGGTTTATAAGCCGTACTTTTTCAGCCAACGAACATTATTTTTCTCTCACAACAAATCAGCCAACAGTACTTTCAGCCATGGCTTATCAGCCAAGCGAACATGGCACATAATTGTTCGATCCCTCTTGTTCGAATTCTCTCTCGCGACTGAACCTAATCTCCATCGACGAATGCTCTGGGGCCTTCGTGCCATGAGACTTTGCTGCACTTCTCCGGGGCAGTGTATTTCATGATACCCATCCGCATCCATCAAGTGTGTGTGTGGCCGTGTGGGAGCCTGAGAAG